CTAGTAGCGATGCTCTTTGCTACTAGTAGCTTCTTGTTACTAGTAGCCTAGTAGCCATTTGCTCCTAGTAGTCATGCCCTTGTTACTAGTAGCGATGCACCTTGTTCCTAGTAGCTGTTTCGGCTTTCCGTTTTTCCGAGTTGGTTTTGTTCATTGATATTATGGTTTCGGCTGGGTCCCCAAACAACACTCTTCCAAAGGGACATCATCTTTGACCTTACCCTCTGCGGCAGGAACCAGTTTCTACGCAAGCACCCGAGACAAAGACTGATGAGGTTTTCTGACCTGATTGCGGAAATGCCGTGTTTGACATCATTTCCAATTCACTATCCTGCCGCCATAAAACAGTCTTCGGAAGCCATCGGAGAATCTCATCAGAATAGTCTTCTGGAGCTTTCCCAATTGTGTCTTGGTACAGGGTGTTTGAGTTTGATTATTCATGTTGCCATAAATGACGCATTTGAATCCTTAAACTGTTTTTGCCTACAGAAGTGTCGTTTTCAGGGTTGACTAACTTTGACATAATGTCACATTTTCACTAGTCAATAGCTTATATTGTATATTTTGTAGTGCAAACTGGTAGATACTTTCCAGAGATGCATGTCTATAACTCCTCTAGCACCAGTGTACCAATCCTCCAACTGGTTTAGCGGCCCATCCGGCCCACCTTCCTATCCTTTTCTCTTTTCATTTTTGGCAGCGGCAATGCATTTCGGTGGAACATGTTCACTCGACCTGCCAGTCGAACAAGGGCGATTCGGTTTGTTGGACCCAGCCGAATTGGGGGGGGCGATATGAATCGGTGGTCAATCTGTGCAGTTGGAATAACTTTGGCAAAGAACCAGGTGGACAGATGTGGGTCCCAAGCTGATCATGTCATTCAAAAGAAAAGGAGAGGACATCAAAAGGCACGTCATCGCGACTTCGATCTGCTTCCAATGGTGTCCGGCCACCGGTTGGACCGACCTTTCACCGGTGAGTCACGGTCCCTTGTGGGCCCCCCCTATGATGACTGCTGAACAACTTATGAGTATCATAGAAGGTATGGGGATCATTCAGTTGGTGAATTACACCCTGGTTCTGCAACAAACAAGACACTTTTCAAAGTACCAAACAGGAGAAGCATTCCACTGCCATGAAAAGCCACAGGAAACCCAAGCATGGTATGTGTTTAAGTGGAGAGCTTCACTCTACTTCAGAATCATATGTCTTACCTGGGGCCATGTGAATATGGGTCGGAGTTTGCAGGGGTTGTGGTGGTTGCTCCAAAGATTCTATGAACCTCCACATCATCAGAACCTGCTGTAATGTAAGACAATGAAGACAGAAATGGGTACGCAGCTGTCACATGTTTGACCCCTTCCAGATTTTGTCTCCTCCAGAAAGATTGTAGATGACCAATATTGGAGGGTTCCGAACATCACAAGCTTGCCCAAATCCCTCATTCTCAATCAAGAACATAACCAACATTTGGCTGTCTGAACATGTTTGTTGGCTTTACAACTCGCCAAATCAACGGAAACCACTTTGAAAGCACCGAAACTAATAGCTCTAGCGTCTTGGTCTACCAGAGTGTTCCTGCGTTCTGCATCAGAACTCTCCTTCTGTGCTCAGGCCTATGCCAAGCAGCAGCATGGTGCGTTCAGGCAGAGCAGAACTCGCTGCTTCGCGGTGATCCCGGGGAGCCGTTGGAGCCGTGGATGTACAAGTCTGCTCGATGGATACAGGGGAAAAAAGGTGCAATGTATCGTTTCCCGGGCGGCTTTTCCGAACGCGGAGGGTTCACCGATGGAAGACGGGCGGAGGCGGGTTGCTCGGTCGGTACGGTACGAAGGGTACGGTTTGGATTGGTCAATTCTCTTGAGTCAAAAGCGGGAAACATCAATTGTTTTGATGTGTTTTTCACCGTTTTTCACTCGCGCGATTAAACAGGTTCGCCCAAGGTGGACAAGCGCAGCGAAACACCGTGGCCACCGCGCCGCAGGGTGGTGTCGAAAGCGGTTCGCCGAGAGCAGTTCGCGGGACGCAATCTAGGCGTGGTGGGTGAGGGTGGGTGCTTCCTCGGGCTTGTAGCGCTTCGCTGGAGTTGTGGAGTTGGCCATGAGGCCCTCTAAGTCGTCTTGTTTTATCTATTTCCCCTCCTCCCAGTCCCCAAACACAGCCGATCTTTACGAGCCAGGCGAACGGTCTTGGACGAACTGGATGACCGACCCCCATGTGTGGCCTGGCTGAGGGTGGGAGAGTGGCACTGAGTTGTGGATGACTCATTTCCCATCGTTTTCTTTCCAATTTTGTGACGTATAATAATCGTTTATTCAGGATTGAGGACATCCTTGTCTTGTTTGAGATGTTGGATACTCAATCCTCCTGCCCATACCCTCTACAAAATGGATTGTTAGGAGCCCCCTGGTGGACATCTGACCGGACGGGCCACGGAGACCAGACCACAGACGGACACGTCGAAGCACCCGAACCGGTTCATCCTCCAGGACACGCGCTTTCTCCGCGTCGGGCGAGGATGAACCCGTAGTCGATGTCTCTCCGGGGTCGGGCGAGGTGTCACATTTGTATCGTTGTTTGAGGAACCCTGACCTGTTCTTTTGGCAAACGAAGTACCACCCGGGTTCCACCGGGGAAACGGAGGTCTCATTTTGAGTCTTATGGATGTGAAAACCTAAAGATCCCAAAGACCCCCCGGGTTGCCAGCAATTCAAGGGTCACCAGATGCGACGAGAAGGGACTTCGTAGCAATATACGGCCTCTAGCACCAGTTGCAGATCATGGGCATCCGTTTTTGTAGCAAATAATTTGTTTACTAGTAACAAGAAGCTACTAGTAACAAAGGGCACCGCTACTAGGAACAAGAACGCTACTAGAGTTACTAGAGGCGCTCCTGGCCTTACTACTAGTAACAAGATTCTTTTTCGACTCGCGTCGGCGTCCGGGATCCTCAGAGACGATGGATGTTTTGTTGAGACAGGAGCCCCTAGTAGCGTCCTTGCTCCCTAGTAGCGATGCCTAGCTTCTTGCTCCTCGTAGTAAGGCCAGGAGCCCCTAGTAGCTTCTTGCTACCCAACGCCGGGCCGAACCCACGACATTTGTGGCCTGTTCGATTGAGTCGAAGACCACCCAGGTGGTATCGTCACCCAATCTTGCGGATGCTGATCCCATTCGTGATCACGGGGCTGGTGCGCCGCGTCAGTGGGGTCGCCGGTTTTATATGTATTTGTCAGAAGGGTATTCATGGGGGGTGGAGTGTGAAGCTTGTAGACACATGCGTTTTTTGTGAGGGTAGTGATATGCAAGCATTAGCACTGTAAAACAGCTCATAACAAAAAAGACAGTTCAGACCTATGTCCCCTGTCCAGCCTCTCCTCAGCCCCTCTCCATGGGTTTGAATGGTTTTCTTTGTTTTGGCTGGTCTGCCCAAAAGTCCCCAAAAACAAAAACCAACAAGTTCAGACACATTTCCCCTGTCCAGCCTCTCCTTTGCCATGGGTAAAACTTGCTTTTGTTTTTTGTGTTTCTTTATATTTTTTGTTTGCATTGTTTTCTCAAGTTTTTGGTGGGATCTTGACATAGTATTGATTGATAGTATTTAATTCTCATTCAATTCAATTATCTAATTTAATTCTAACCGGGTTCAAAGTTAAACAAGTCCAATTCAATTCTTATTTAAATGGAATTTGATTTAGATTTGAATTGACATATAACAAAACTCTCTTTATTGTTACCTGACTTCAAATTTCAGTCTAATTCAGTTCTAATTTCAATGTTTTACAATTTTAACTTATTTCTTTTTCAAACCAAACTTGAACTGAATTTCTAAAAATTCGATTGAACTCACAACGGATTGAATTCTAATTTAATTCTAAGCGAGCTGTAGGTTAAACAATTCTAATCATTTCTGCTTTAATTCCAGTTAAATTCTTATTCAAGTCTAATTTGCGTATAATCTTTTAGTTTATCTCAAATTGAATTCTATTTCAGCTTGTTTTACATGTCGATTCTTTTTTCATGTCAATAGGGATGGGGTCCCAGTATAGTCGCTATACAGGTACATGCCATATACTTTTGGCTCAAGTGCCCAACCAGGTAAAAAGGAGCTTTAGCGCGCGAGCTTCATGTTGACCTAAGAGCTAGAACGGGGCCAGGGCACACCTTCCCATCCGTTCGCAGGTTATCAGCCGTATCCAGACTCCTTTGAGCTGGGTACGAGCTGCGGCCTTACACAACACCATCTAAACGCACACGCATCGGATAGATCAGTTACCCTCAGTCACTGAAGATGGACCAATCCGACGCCAGCACTGCATCTTTTGGAGCAGCTGCTGCGGCCGCAGATCGGATGAGTGCATCCCACAACTCTAGTCCAGGTACGATCGAAGCGGAGACTCTGACAGCGGTGAGAGAAGATGCGACAGGTAGAGCACGAAGTCGTTCCCCGTCAGCGCACTCGACACCGCCGGGGGGGACACCGAGATCAGGCCGTAGCCCTAGGGAGACAAGGAGGAGGACTGACACCGGAGCTGTGAGAGTGTTAGCATTGGAGGATGGGTCAGCTGTACCAGTGCCGTCGGACAGCGAAGCTGGAGATGGAGCAAGGGCAAGCACTGACAACCTACAACTAGCACGGGCCGATGGAGACCTGAATGCGAAGTGTGCGCAACTACTTGCCGAAGTGCATATGTTGAACCACCAAAACGCATGGATGGTCGAATGTGAGCAGAGACAGAACCAGATTATACAACACGAGACCGAAGTCCACGAAGTAGTGATGGCACACCTCGAAGAATGTTATGTCGAAGGATATGGAAATCAACGAAGAATCTCCCAACTTACAGAATTGTTTGCTCTCAGCAGCACACGACCTGCAATACCAGATGGACACTGATCGTGTGGCAATGCGGGATCGTCTCACCCAGTTAGGGGAGTACGCTGATCGCAACAGCGCAGAGATGGTTAGTCAAGTTGTGAACATCGGCACGGAAGAGATCCAGGCTATATCGGCGGAAAGAGATCGAGCCGTAACCGAGGTCATGACTACAATCGCAGATGCTGAGAACGTCAAGGATCTGTGTAGACAGGAGTTAGTCGGACTACAAAGGCAGAGTGCCAGAAACAAACACGAATATGCTGAAGAGATGAAGATGAGGGAAGCAATGTATGCAAACAAGATCAAATGGTTATCAGAAGAGAATGAGGAGCTCAACAACCGATCTAATACTCAGGACAAGTTCATCTTGAGCATCAGAGAGCAATTGAAGAAGGCGAACGAGGAGTTGACTCAGACGAGGATTCAAGGATCCGATCGACCGTTTCAACCATCTAGCGCCGAACTCAAGAAGGCCGAAGCCAAGGTGAACATGTTGGAAGAGGACATTCTACGTAAAGAGAGGATGCTGAAGCGTCTTCAGGAAGAATTGATCGAATCAAGCGCAAGTGAAGCACAATTGAAGGTCGCACTGAAGTTGAAACCACCAGACATGGGATCAGAACCCAGTGTGGAGAATGAGATGATGACCAAGCTTAGAGCGGAACTTGAACGTACTGAAAAGTTATTAAGGTCCGAGGAGAAAGAGGCAATTGAGTACTACGAAGGTATGATGCAGAACCAACAGGACATGATGGAATTCGAAGCGCATGCATCACGGCTCAGAGATGAGAGGAATAAGTACCGGAAGAGGTACGAAGAGGAGCGCATAAGTGCAGAGAATGCAGCCGCAACCGAACATGGTGCCGCTTCATCCTCTGGCTCGGGCGGCTCCAAGATATCTCGGAAGGAACACGAGAAGATCAACATCCCTGCATGGCCCAAGATACACGACCTGGAGGTTTGGAAATCCCAGGTTGTAGCGGCAGTCGTGACGGCATCGGGCGACGAGAAACAAGAAGACTGGATCCAATGGCTCTCGGATGCCTTCAGATCACCATATGACCCATTTCTACTCGAGACATCAGGCGAAGCAAGATTCGCTAGCATAGACGCTAAGCTAGGTATCACCCTACACACGATCATCCACGCAGCAGGTGAGAGATCTCATGACGTACAACTGAAGGTGAGGCAGATGATGCAGAGACGTGCGAGAGGCACAACTCCTGGAATGGTCAAGGGACGAGAAATGTTAGCGTTGATCGTCGATAGTTTCCGGAGTGCCGACAACGTTGATGTGATGTATGCATCCAAGCACTTATTCGATCTAAAGTTCCCTGGGGATAATCAACTATCCAGATTCCTTGGACAGTGGGATGAGATCATATCAGGTATGGATGCGGATGACATGCTTCCTGACAAAGCACTTCGCAACCTGCTTTGGGATAAGATTAAGGATTCCAAAGTTATGGCGTTAGACTTGTCTGTGTACGACAACATGTTGGATAAGGATCCGGATAAGACCTACCAGAAGTTACGAGAGATCATGACGAAGTGGATACGGAAATCAATTGAGACCACAAACAAGAAAGAAAGGGAAAAAGCTTTTGGGAACATCGTGAAAGCCACACCAGCGGCGGAGAAGAAGGACCCTAAAGCGAAACCCAAGAATACCAAGACCGATCCACCGAAACATGACGCCGCTCCAGTACTTCCTCAGGCTAATCCGAAGGACCACAACAAGAAGGACAAGAAGCAGGATCGTGGAAGATCAGCCACGAAGAGCCCAAAAGGGGATCGTGGCAGGTCAGCGACTCCAGCAGATACGTCCAAGATAGGATGCGCTTTCCACTTCCATGGGAAAAACGGATGTTCTAGAGGAGACAAATGCAAGTTTAGTCACCAAGAGAAGCACAAGAGTTCTGCTAAGAAACCAGAAAACCTCAAGGGTGACAGATCAAAGAGTCCCGGTGACAGGAGCAGTAGCCCTAGGCCAGTGAAGGATCAGATCTGTTGGAATTGGCAGAAAGGATCGTGCAAGTTCGGGGACAAATGTCGACGTCAGCATCACGCTGCTCCTGCTACAAAACAAGAGGCTAGAGGCAAAGCCAAGCCCAAACCGGCTGCGCCAGCCTTCATGCTTTGCGGAGACATCGGGAGTGATGACGAGGACGTACAACCCGCACTTCCCAACGTACAACAAGGTAAGCTGGCGCTTCGCTTTAAAGTCAGATTCGATGACCAGGCGAATGTGACCACGTTCACCTGCGATCCTGGTAACGAGCTAAACAACCGTCCCCTCAGGAAGAAGAAGAATGAGGTGCAGAAGGTGGATACCGAGCTCATTTCGTCGTTGAGAGCCCTCAGAGTGAGCAACATAGCTGCACGAGTAGCACATGCCAAAGGTAAGATGATGGAGCTATTCTATGCTGAACACATTGCCAAGGCATGGATACAAATCACTCAAGATGAAGGAATCGAGGTGAACGTCGACCTGTCTGATTTCAACACCAGAGAGGTAGTAAGGAAGGATTTTGTCAACTACACGATACCAGGAGCCACGATGTTCATGGCTGTGGAGAGGTATGATGGACCACCAATACGCTTCATCATGGACACGGGATGTGGACACGATTTGATCTCAAGAGAGAAAGTCAATGCCATGGGCCTTACCACCAAGGAAGGACCCAAATCCGTGAGCTTCATGACAGCGAATGGTGTAACTAGTACATCAGAGATGGTGGGCATCAATGTGGACGAACTACCCATGAGGTCCGAGGCACACGTGTTGGAAAGCACACCATCAGTCTTTTCCATCGGGAAACGGTGCATGGAACAAGGGTACTCATTCATATGGCCGGCAAATCAATTGCCATACCTCATCGACCAGAACGCGAACAAGATTCCGCTATCGGTGCATGACAACATACCCTACATCAAGGTGAATGATGATGACGGGAGATGTTTACCAAGACCAGACGGCTTGGCTACGATACTTCATCGCATACTGTCAGGTGCGGGGCATGAAGACGAGGTCACAACAGGTCAGGAGACACAACAAGAGGAACTTCCGCCCAAGAAACCACGGAGACGGAGGAGAAAGAAGAAAGATAACCAGAGAGGTCAGGATGGTGAATCTGATATCAATCCAGCTGTTGCAGGCGTCGAAGGAGAACCAGAGGAACACGGTGATGACAGGTATTCTCCTGAAGAGGAATATGACGGGGAAGACCCGAGATTCGATCGTGATCACGAAGGTCAACCTGAAGAAGCCGGAGGCGACGAACATGGAGGTGATGCGGATTCTGAACAAGG